TGGAAAGTCTTTGCCAACAACAAACTTACTGTAATATTGCTTAGGGCTTAGATTATTGCTTACTTTTTATCCGACGCAAAGGGTTTTGAAAAATATCCCAATAATCCAATTTTAACCAAAAGTTATTCTTTCCGTTATTATTTGAAATTATACACAAAACATATTTTTGAAAAATATATTGTATACTTTTCAAAATTTTAATTAAATTTTAATTAAATTAGCCAATATTATTTCCATCAACCTAATCCCAAAATAATCAAAGTTTCTTAATAGACTTCAACTAGGATGTGAATATTTTTATGTCCTAAGGCTTACCTCTAATGTAGAATTTATGACAAATACTATTCTATGGAGTGAGTAAATAAAGTGTGGAATAAATCAAACATTTAACTAACATATGATTCATATAATAAGTTATATCTATAAATGTAATTCAATTATATCATTCGTTTCATTCACACATTTATTCATTTATTGATTCACACATTCAGGTGTACTCAACGAATATTCTGTATGAGAATTGTCTGTCAATCCATTAATAGTGAACAGAATTTTTGTGTTCAAAAGACATTTCAATTCCTATTGTATCTCAAACTGTACGTGACTTTCAAATGATAAATGAAATGCGAATTTTTTGTCATAAAATTAAATGAACCAGACTCAAAAGGTTTAAAACTAAATTGAATTTTACAAAACACTTTTAATGATTGCAAATCTCTCTATAATTAATTCCCAAAGTAATTAATTAACAAAAAATTTATATTAAAACTTTCATATATTGAACGAAATGTTTTTAATTTATATTCAAATCATTTATTCATATATTTTTAATACTCTCTAGTCATGCAATTTATTATTAAGTAATGAGTTGCTTTGTATTTCAAAAACTTTACACATGATTGTAATTTAGTTATCAAAATATAATAAGTTATTTTGTATTTTTTTCTTACTTTTATTATAAGTCATAAAACAATATCCTGTAATACAATTATATTATACTATATACAATTCTTAGTGATTTAACATTAAATATTTGCACAATGAAAAAATAAAATTCAATATATTATACAAATTACAAATTAATAAAAATTAATCCTAACTATGTCTAACAAAATAAATATACTTAAAACTTTTAGTATAAATAAAAAATATTTAATTATACAGCAATACTGTAATATAATTATCGAAAGCAGAATTTGGATCAATTTATGACATATATTAAGAAAATTAATTAAATTTAGTGTCAACTTATAAAATAAGGCAAAAGGTGATCCGATTGATAGTCTAGAACTTAATCTGCAAAATAGTCCAATAAACCAAATTGAATAATAAGAAACTGAGTGGAAATATGCGCCGACACTTGCAGTCCACTTCGTTGGCCAACTCCTGAGGCGTCAGTTTATAGCAAATTGAGTCCAATATCTGGACCGACGATTGCGTCCTCGATCTCACCGAAGCCCCTCTCTGTCGGACAATCACATCGTCTTTCGTGTCAGACATTTGTTTCGCAAAATCAATGTTAATTAGCGAAAGTCTGGGTTTTGTGTCGAAAGTGGATGTCTTGTTGAGGTCCGAGTCCTGACCAGAGGTGACGTTCTTTGGACGTCCGCTCAGATCTCTGTTGAGCTGAGAGAATGTGTTAACGGTTTGCGAATATATTGTCTCCAAATTGGGTTTAGAAGAAGCTTTCAAATTGTTTGACGGCTTCTCGTCATTGGCTTTGAGTACACTTTGCTGTCTCTTTCGCTTCAGTTTCTTATTCTTCTTCTTTCTCTTCTCGGAATTGAATATATAGTTAACGGACGCGAACTCAATAAGAGACGAGAATATGAACACTATTTGCCATAAAAATAAAGAGAGAAAAAAGTAATCTTATTTTCACATTCAATACATCGAGAGTTTTGTGTATAATTTGCTTATTATTTGCTTATTTGAACACATTTTGTCAAAAATAATAGCTCAGAGAGAAAGATCTGATTTTGAGATATTTCTAAACGGATTTCATATAAAAATCTAATACAAGTGAGTTGTTTGGTGGGCACCTACCGATGCAAACCATATTCCAGATGTCGAGTGCATTCCAATAGGAAACAGTAGGCAGTTGTGATTTGGTGGTCTTGAAAGTGGTGACCAGTGCTAACATTGTGGTCACACCGATGCTCACCCGAGCCGGTGGTGACGTGATCTCGAGCCAGAAGGAGGCCCAGGAGGCGATCACAATGATGGAGGTGGGCAAGTAAAACAGGAACATATAGTGGGCCCACTCCCGGACCAAATTAAACCGGAGACTCACTCGACTGAAGCTATTGTTTTTGCTGTAAGTCTGTTCAGTAATAATGGTTTCATAATCCATTAAATTGAAACCAATGGTATGAAAACTATCGGATTTACTAAAAGAGATTTTCGGATTCCAACGAAGTTTTAGTATATTTGTCGTCGAAATACTACTCTCGAGATGAAGGTAACAGATCTGCTCATCGAAAGGGTATAAATGGAAATCCATATTACAGTAAACACGAAGCAGTTTCCTATATATTGACAAAAAAGAGACAAAAAGGGAAGAATTTTCCGAATGAGATATTTCTTAAAAAACAAAGTCTTTTAGATTAAATTGTATTTAAAATAAAATTCTTTATAGTGTTCAGTGTTTGCCGAGTGTTTAGTGTGAGTTTACTGTTGAATGTCGTGCATAGAAAATAATGTGATATTAATGACACAATTTCTTACTAATAAATGTTAAGACTCAACACATATTGGGTGTCATTTAGTGCAGTCCTGTATTAAAAGTTAAGATTAATTGTAAATTTAAAATTGTATTGTCTTTATACGAAAAAGAAAACTTAATCCACGGCTTGTTGTTAAGGACTAACTTGTCTTTGAAATGAAGATTTATTTGAGAGTTATTTTCTACAGACTCTTAATGTGTAACTAATAAACAGCTCTTTTCTGTGCAAATCAATTGTCAAGTAATACCGTTTGCGAAGCCATACATGTCCGGTGGGTCTGATTTTAAGCAAATTAGCGCTATGGTCGTCGTAGTCAAATGATCCCGGGTCTTGATTATTTGGGATGAACACGGATGGGTACCAAATACGTGATATATGATAGTTGCCGCCCTCGATGATGGGCTCGTCTTTAGCGGGCTTTTCATTATATTTGTCGCGAATTATGAATTTAAGTCTCGGATCAATCCATTCCAAGTCAATGAATAGATGAAATGTGTATTCCTATCGGGAATCGGGAGTCTTATATTGCCTGCGCTTGGATTCTCAGTTATACAACTAGTATTACAAATAAATACCGAGGTTATTTCATCGACAGTGGCGTAGTTGTACAGATCAATGCTCACGTTCACGAATAGTGGCCCTATAGATAGATATAT